ACAAAAAAAGGATCACAAGCACATTGTACAGCTGGACAGTCAATTAATTCTGGTAATTTAGTGATTTCTAGGCAAACATGAAATTAAAACTTGCCAATTGTCTTGCAAATTACAATTGTAACTGCCATAATGATAAAAGAAGATAATTGTGAGAATTGATATTTGTAAAATGCACTGGTATAAGTCTATAAGACTCTTTAAAATGGCTAATTTTTAATTCCCTGCTAGCCATATCTACATGTATAACATAAAGTTTTATAATTATTATAAACATACAATAATTATTACTTACACTATCTTCTGACATCTCAAGAGTATGTGTATGTTTTGACATTAGCTATAAACAGAATTAAAAACTGTTAAATCATGCCAACTAGTAATTATACAAAAGAAGATGACATCTTTGCTAAACTTTTTAAAATAATATTTATTACCTTTGGCATCTTAGTAATCAATAACTCAGCAATTTCAGATCTAGATAGCTCAGGATTGATACGATACTACATAAAAATAATAAGCAACACATTCTCACAGCACTTAACAAATTATACAATAATGCTGTCAAGAGGTGAATTAACTTCAAGTTCGATTGACCTCTAAAATACTTACTTTCTCACAAGCAGCAGTCACATCAGCTTGACCTTTAGTAATCAATAATTTGATAATTTCAGTTGATGGGCCTTCTTCAATTGCTGTAACAGAGGAGTGTTACCATACTAGATAAATAAATAATAATAAAAATTAATACAATGTGAGGTTATAGTTAACCAGCTACAAAAAGTTAAAAAAAATCTCTTTTGCAAAATTACTGTTAAGCTGAACTTTATTTTTTAAGAATCACATTTTAGATAACAAATGTAACATTAGAACTACATGTATATAATGGACAATTTGAGATGAAGTATGTGCTGGGCTAAAATATGCTGGGAAACAATACTTAATACCATGTACATGTAGCTCCAAATTTTTGACGACCTTTTTCAATTGCTAGTAACAGAGGAGTGTTACCATGCAAGACAATTAAAACTAATAATAAAAAAGAACTTAGTATCAGGTGACGTTAGAGTTATACTAAAACAATAAAATTAAAGTTTTCAAAACATCTCTTTTGCAAAATTACTGTTCAGCTCAACTTTATTTAATAAGAATCTTGTTTTAGATTATGAGAAATTCAACATTACAATGGTGACTCTATAATGAACACTTTGAGATGCTGTACATGCTGGGCTAAAATATACTGGAAGACTACTTATACCATGTACATGTAGCTCCAAATTTTTGTCAGTGTCAATCTTAATTTGTTGTTTTTGTCAATAAAATTGTCATCATTTCTGTTATAAATCCACATACAACCCACATGGAACAAAAAAATTAACAGTTAATAATTTTGTCAAACAAAAATGTGTACATGTCGGAGATTTGGTAATAATTAATAGTGTAAAAGTATATGTAAAGTATTCATGCATTCATTAAATACGTAGGCAATATGCATGTACATGGAAATCTTACTTTATCCACAACATCAGTTATAGCTCCATTAGTTAATAGAATATTAACAATTTCACTACTCCGCTCAACAGCATGAAACAATGGAGTTCTGTTCTCCTATAAAATACAACACAAAATGATACAATTAGAAATGAGTATTTAGTAGTAACTTTACCTCATCCACAGCATTCACATCAGCATTTCATTTAGTTATTAATAATTTGATAGTATCAGCTTCACCAAAATGACAAGCATTGTGTAATGGAGTTTTATTATACTATAAAAGCAAATTTTTGTATATTTTACAGACATAAATAACTAAATATAGTGCTTCTTCAAGGATAAAGAATTTATGGATTTTTTAAACACTCATAAAATTAAATTATGTGGAATATGGTACAAGATGGCTAAAATAATGGAAATTTGCAAAAATTAATTTGATGAATCTTTGGCTTGTATCCTTGAAAAAACTGCTACACAATAGCGTGTATTATTATGTACATGCAATCATGCATGTATATAAGATTAATGTATACCCCCATAACATCAGTTTTAGCTCCATTAGTCAATAGAATATTAACAATTTCACTACTCTGCTCAACAGCATGAAACAATGGAGTTCTGTTCTTCTATAAAATACAACACAGAGACAATTTAAAATGAGTACTTATTATTAACTTTACCTCATCCACAGCATTCACATCAGCTTTTCCTTTAGTTATTAATAATTTGATAATATCAGCACTTTTATAGCGTTCAACAGCAGAGTGCAATGGAGTGCCATAAGACTATACATTAAAAATAACGTAAAACATGTGTATAAGTACAAAAATATTCCTATAATTGTTTTCACCACCTTGCATCTATTGCTGGATCTAAGACTTACAGAGGTTCTCTCTACTTGATAATGCTTCTAAAAAGGCTTTTGTTGCTGTGGCCACACCCATTTTACGTAAAGGGTGTGGGTAAGAAATTACTAACTGCTAAGGTGTCTTAATTTAGTATATGTGACCATAATTGACAAAAGGTACCTTATGGCGGGTAGTGAAATTTGTCTTTCTAGCCTAAGAAATCCAACTTCCTGAGCCCCATTTGTCATAAAATTACTCCACAGGATGCAAAAAGTTACCATGAAACTTTTAGAAACAATGATTGTCGAACAAAGCACTCACAGGTTGATATTTGCCATTATTAAGATCAATTTTAAAATCCGCCATAAGGGCCCTTTTGTCAATTATGGTCACATATTTGTTATTTCTCCAATACAACATGCATAGAATAAATGCAACTGTGATATAATTATAGATTGCATGTTGGTAAAAACAATTACAGGAATGATCTAGGAGCTTCACCCCTACAGGTACATGTATGTTGGAAAAATTTATTCAGTCATGCACTCACAGCTCATGCATCTAACATAATTATGTCATAGAGTGAGTGATTTATGCAGAGGTAAAAGTTTACAAATAAATCAAAATCAAGATAACTTAAAGCATACATGTATGTGTAAATTCTGAATTATTTCTAAATATGTGAAATCTACAAAATTATTAACCCCCAAACATAAATAAAGCATTCTTGCCCAAATTATCAATAATATAGTATCAAATTAAGCTTGTTGGCTTAATGACTTAATAACTTAAAGACATTACTAATAAATTTTGAGGATTATGATGTCTCAAGTACATGTACTATACATGCATGTGAACATTAGTGAATAATTAATGTAAGCAGTTCACGTACCGCTATATACATGTTACAGGTTCATGTTATAACAGTAAGGGATATAATGATATATCACATTTATAATCAACAAGCCTGACCTAATGGCGGATGCTATATCGCATTTTTGGACACCCACCTCATAAAGACCTGTCTAGTATAATATACATGATTTATTTAACAAATCTTACCTCAGACATGACATCAGTTCTAGCTCCATTAGTTAATAGAATATCAACAGCTTCAATACAACCACTCTTAACAGCATTAAACAATGGAGTACTGTGGTACTATAAATACAACTTTAAATGATACAAATAGAACTAAATGATAACTTTACCTCATCCACAGCATTCACGTCAGCATTTCCTTTAGTTATTAATAATTTGATAACTTCAGTTGATCTTAGACGACCTTTTTCAATTGCTAGTAACAGAGGAGTGTTACCATGCTAGACAATTAAAATTAATAATAAAAAATAACTTAGTACCAGGTGACGTTAGAGTTATACTAAAACAACAAAATTAAAGTTTTCAAAACATCTCTTTTGCAAAATTACTGTTCAGCTCAACTTTATTTAATAAGAATCTTGTTTTAGATTATGAGAAATTCAACATTACAATGGTGACTCTATAATGAACACTTTGAGATGCTGTACATGCTGGGCTAAAATATGCTGGAAGACTACTTATACCAAGTACATGTAGCTCCAAATTTTTGTCAGTGTCAATCTTAATTTGTTGTTTTTGTCAATAAAATTGTCATCATTTCTGTTATAAATCCACATAGCTACAACCCACATGGAACAAAAAAATTAACAGTTAATAATTTTGTCAAACAAAAATGTGTACATGTCGGAGATTTGGTAATAATTAATAGTGTAAAATTATATGTAAAGTATTCATGCATTCATTAAATACATAGGCAATATGCATGTACATGGAAATCTTACTTTATCCACAACATCAGTTTTAGCTCCATTAGTTAATAGAATATTAACAATTTCACTACTCCGCTCAACAGCATGAAACAATGGAGTTCTGTTCTTCTATAAAATACAACACAGAATGATACAATTAGAAATGAGTATTTAGTAGTAACTTTACCTCATCCACAGCATTCACATCAGCATTTCCTTTAGTTATTAATAATTTGACAATATCAGCTTCACCAAAACGACAAGCATTGTGTAATGGAGTTTCATTATACTATAAAAGTAAATTTTTGTATATTTTACACACGTAAATAACTAAATATAGTGCTTCTTCAAGGATAAAAAATTTATGGATTTTTTTAAACAATCATAAAATTAAATTATGTGAAATATGGTACAAGATGGCTAAAATAATGGAAATTTGCAAAAATTAATTTGATGAATCTTTAAAAGGCTTGTATCCTTGAAAAAACTGCTACACAGTAGTATGTATACTTATTATTAACTTTACCTTATCCACAGCATTCACATCAGCTTTTCCTTTAGTTATTAATAATTTGATAATTTCAGCACTTTTACAATACTCAATAGCATAGTGCAATGGAGTGCCAGAAGACTATACATTAAATAAAACGTAAAACAAGTGTATAAGTATAAAAATATTCCTATAATTGTTTTCACCACCTTGCATCTATAGCTGGATCTAAGACTTACAGAGGTTCTTTCTACTTTATAATGCTTCTAAAGAAGGCTTTTGTTGCTGTAGCCACACCCATTTTACGTAAAGGGTGTAGGCAAGAAATTGCTAACTGCTAAGGTGTCTTAATTTAGTATTTGTTATTTCTCTAATACAACGTGCATAGAATAAATGCAACTGTGACATAATTATAAATTGCATGTCGGTAAAAACAATTACAGGAATGATCTAGGAGCTTCACCACTACATGTAGGCTGGAAAAATTTATTCAGTCATGCACTCACAGCTCATGCATCTAACATAATTATGCCATAGAGTAAGTGATTTATGCAGAGGTAAAAGTTTACAAAGGAATCAAAATCAAGATAACTTAAAGCATACATGTATGTGTAAATTCTGCATTATTTCTAAATATGTGAAATCTACAAAATCCAAACCATAAACAAAGCATCTATACCCAAATTATCAATATTAATTAGGCTTGTTGATTTAATGACTTTATAACTTAATGACATTATTAATGATATTTGAGGATTATGATGTCTCAAATACTATACATGCACGTGAACATTAGTGAATAGTCATTATAAGCAGTTCATGTATATGTACATGTTATAAAAGTAAGGGATATATGACATAATCACATTTATAATCAACAAGCCTGAGCTAATGGCGGATACAATAATTTCCTTGGGCTATATTGCATATTTGGACACATACCTCATAAAGACCTGTCTACTATAATATACATGACTTATTTAACAAATCTTACGCTAGACACAACATCAGTTCTAGCTCCATTAGTTAATAGAATATCAACAGCTTCAATACTACCACTCTCAACAGCATTAAACAATGGAGTTCTGTTCAACTATAATAAAGCATAAAGTGACTACCAATTTTAAATATTAATTACTTTATCTTTCACATTCACATCATAATCTCCTCTCTTAATCCAAAACTCAAGCATTTCAACTTTACTAGATTCACCAGCACAATGTAGTAGAGTTTTACCATACTATAAATAATAACAATAACAATAAATATGACAACAAACAAAATTGCCAGCCTGGTATTGTATTAAGTAATTACATTGTAGGCAGTCTGCTTTGCTAAATGTGCACAATTATTTACAGTATTAGGTAGTATTAACTGATCACTGCACATGTGCAAACATAAATTTTGAATAGTAATATTTGTACTCAGTCACAAATTTAGTTACCCATGAAACATTATGACTACACATACAGGCAATATGTTAGCATGTGTGTTAGTGTTTGCAGTAAATTTTGCAAATCTGCTAAATTTAATTTTTATAAACAGACACTGCCAGCATTCAGCATAAATTGAATCTTAAATCTCTAAAAGTTACAGCCTTCAAAAATTTTATATTGCATAAAACTTACTTTATCCACAACATCAGTTCTAGCTTCATTAGTTAATAGAATATCAACGCATAAGGTCCATTATCATGAATAGACAAGCATGCAACATAAATTGAATCTTAAATCTTCAAAATTTACAGCCTTCAAAAATTTTATGCTGTATGGTCAAGTTTCAATATAAAACTTACATTATCCACAAGATCAGTTCTAGCTCCATTAATTATATAATAGAATATCAACAGCTTCAATACTACCACTCTTAACAGCATTAAACAATGGAGTTTTGTTCCACTATAAATACAACATTAAATGATACAAATAGAATTAAATAACTTTACCCTATCCACAGCATTCACATCAGCCTTTCCTTTAGTTATTAATAATTTGATAAAATCAGCATTACCAGTTTCAATAGCAAGGTGCAAGGAAGTATGTCCAAACTATATTGATATAATTATTTTCATGATCATATTGATAAAAACAGATACACATGTACTTAAATGTTGCTGAGTAACATACTAAAGCAAGTGCTAATAATGTGTGTGTAAGTAATGTATTGGGTACGAGTAATCAAGTATATATGTAGACCATGATGTGGAAACTGCCAGACATGCCAGTCATTGTCCAGTATTGGTGAGTTTTGTCTGATTTTGGGGTCAATTGAAAGGACAAAATAACCGTTAATTGGCCTCGCCTACGCGAGGTATAGGTAGTTGTTGTGTGTGTCTGTCATTACCCGAGACCGCGTAGGCGTTGGTCGAGGGTAAAGCAGTCGTCCTGTCTGTGTGTTCGCTTTGACCTCCACTTTTGAGCTGACACTGCTTTCTTGTCTTGTCCTGGAGAGTCTTATAATCAACACTAGCTCTAGAAAAAGTTATTCTCCGTCTTGGGAATCTTTGATTTGTCTTTTCCGTGGTAAAAGAAGCTGGCAAAGTCGCCAAACGTAGTCGGCTCTCCTGCAGCTCTTTCGTAGTGAAAGCAAAAGAGCAACAGGGCAGATAAAACAATAAAGCAAAACCTCATCTTTCATTAATATGAGAGGAATTGCTCCAATCTTCTTCGTTTTAAAGATATGATAGCCCAAACTTTCATACCTTGTGAGTTTAGACGAGGCTTTCTTCTCCCGAGGTAGCGGCCAGAGTCTTTTAACATTAGGGACTAGATAGCAGTTTGTATGCAACAAATAGAGCCTAACAAATGTATGCTAAACTTTATAAAAGTCGAGAAAAACCAAAGCTTTCGTCACCACTTAGGGCCATGTGCCACCATTTACTGTGTGTGGGGGTGGAGCATGGCTTGATTGAGCCACACCTTCATTGCAGCCACACCTTTACATTGCTGCAGCTAGCAGCAGTGCAGCAAATATGCTGGAGCTCTTTGTCTAAAAAAACAAAAATTCTCTGTCTGTCTAAAACATTCACTAAGTTTTAATAAATCTAGTACATGCTGAAGCTTCTTCTCTGTCTCAAAACTTTGACCAATTATTTTCTCTTAATTTATTGAAACTGTTACATACAGATTGTGTCGAGGGTATGCACTTTAGTGCTCTCGTTCATTCATTCATTCATTCAGTACAACTGAAATTTGTTTTTAATAAACAATAACTTTAGCACAGCGTGTTCTAAGCTCCTAGATCTTTCTTTTTGACGTGGAAAAGTCTGTTTTGTGTTGCTCAAATACAAAAGCTAGGTACAGAAGCTTCAAAGTAAGAAAATCGAGTAGTTGGGCCAAGTTCCGTTGTGTTGGCACTTTAGAGATAGCTGGTAGCATTTTTCAGTAGATTAGAACATGGCCTTCAAAAATTATGAACAGATTTCTCTAAATCTTACTTGATGAAGAGTTATACTTACTTGAAATTGTTGAGGTCACTCGTTTGTGCAGCGCTAGAGCAACAGCTTGCTGGGTTATAGGTACTAAAGTACCTATACTATCTCAAATATACAAAGGCAGCAACTTTTTTTGTCAGCAAGTTTATCATATATTGCTGATTAGTAAAGAAAAAGTGAAGCTTCTTTCTCACATGGTCTTCTTGCTGCCAGCCTGCCACTCATGGAATGCCACACCTTTCAATCTACATGCATGGGAGGGGCTGGAGCTGCTTGCATGTATGTGCTGCAGTGCTGCTACTTCTGCAGGTATTCAAGAGCAAGTGCAACTGTAGGAAGCTAGTGTTGAGCAGACTCTCTTCATGCTGATAATCAAACAGTTATTAAAGTGCGGGCATGCACCATAGCAGCTATAGGGGCGAGGCCATGCACCGTAGGTGTCTCGTTATTGCAGACCTGATTTGTCAACTTCACCTCTCTCAATCATGAAGGTCAGTTTAGTTGGTACACACTTTTCTCGTATCTAACAAAGGGGGTGTGTCACGATTAGCTATTTTTGAAATTGTTTTATATTTAGGAAGAAGACAGACATTATTTGCATCGTAAATTAGTTTATGGTCGAAAGATAAAGGTATATATAAATATTTAAAATACATTTTTGGCCTTGCCTACGCGAGGTATAGATAGTTGTTGTGTCTGTCATTACCCGAGACCGCGTAGGCGTAGTCGAGGGTAAAGCAGTCGTCCTGTCTGTGTTCGCTTTAACCTCCACTTTTGAGCTGACACTGCTTTCTTGTCTTATCCTGGAGAGTCTTATAATCAACACTGGCTCTAGAAAAAGTTATTCCCTGTCTTGGGAATCCTTGATTTGTCTTTTCCGTGGTAAAAGAAGCTGGCAAAGTCGCCAAACGTAGTCGGCTCTCCTGCAGCTCTTTCGTAGTGAAAGCAAAAGAGCAACAGGGCAGATAAAACAATAAAGCAAAGCCTCATCTTTCACTAATATGAGAGGAATTGCTCCAATCGTCTTCATTTTAAAAATATGATACCCCAAACTTTCATACCTTGTGAGTTTAGACGAGGCTCTCT